AATCAAAATTAAATAAATATAAGTGTACTCTTTAAAAGTTTAAATTTTTAAATGAGTATAGTCACACAAGTTTACATAGCATCAAATAAGAAAGAGAGATTAGATTTAAGTCAAACACGGACGTGAGGAACGTATTATTGAAAACATAATTAAGCAGTCTAATTTAAACTTTTATATAAAGTAGCCATACAATTCAACGATTATGACTAAATTAGACGCAACACAACCCAGATACCTTCTTCTGTTTAAAGCAAAGTTTACTTGACATTGTACATTAATATACAGGGAAAAGGGTTAAACTTTTCTTGTACTATTTAATTTGAAGTTGAACAAAGTTTTCTCTCATTAAATTTTTGGTCTAACATTACTCTTGCCATAAGGAAAAAAATCATAATTTTGTCCTTGGCCCTTAACGGAGTTCCAACCTGAAAGTAATTTTAGAATATAGTCAAAAGCTGAAGGGTAAATTTTGTATCCTTTTAATAAATAAAAAAAACCAGACACGTGGAGTCCACCTATTTCATGCTGAAGCTCTATTAATAATAATTGCAAATAAAAGACGATTTACTAATGATAAAATTATGAATGAATAGAAAGCGCGATGTTAAGTAAAATTGAACAATTCGGATAGTACAATAGCAATATATGTTGGACAGTTTCCTTATCATACTTATTTTCCGTTTTCTTATTTCTTTTTAAGTCATATGAGATAAATATGTTCTACTTCTAGTAATTAGCTATCGTAGAGGTCGGGCTTCAGTCGAACAACCTTCTCCTTCCCTTCCACTAATGAAACTACTCTTGCAAAGTCATAAAGTCAGTATAATCTATCTTTGATCTTTTTCTTATTATGTCTTCAAATGAAAGACGAAGAAGCTTAATTCCCTTCTTAGGAAAGCGTCAATGTGCAGTAGGGAATGCCATCAGATTGAGCAACTTCACATGTGAAAATCCTTTGTAACATGCTCTCTAAGTATCACAATGGACAAATTCAAAAAACAACTCCTTACACCCTTCACATGTCATTCACAACTTAACCAACATCATATGCAAAACTATCTTCAGAGGGTTAGATGGGTCCAATTTCCACAGCACTTACCCTAACTTCTTGAAGCTTTTTCAACTTTTCTTTACTTTTTGTAGAAAGGCTTCCCTTTTGCCTTTTCCAAAGCAATGCTCATATGTAATTCCACTTTGTTTAACCCTATTTTTTATTAGTCCACTCCA